TTGTGCCTCCTCTCACTTCGCTTCTTTGCAGGTGGAATGGTATTAACAAATCACAGAAATTATAGATGAAAATCTGTCACTGCACAGCTGCCTGCGTGCGATCTGCCAGAAACACATGGCAGCGGTGCCAAGGGTTTGCCTGCCGGGTGCAGCCCTGCCCTCGCTGCAATTCAGGACATGCCTAAGGTACCACTTTAGTACCGCAGGAGTCTGAAACGCGAGGAATCGTGAAACCATTGGCTTCTTGGTCTGTGTGCCGAGCTCTCCTCCAGCATCATTGAATTTCTGAAGCCAGAGGTTCTCCTGTAATAAGTATTTTTATTGTGAGCCCATGGAAAAACTATTACCAAGTTCACCTGTCGGGCTTTTCCTCAGGTCCGGCTTTGCATCTGGCCCCGGGGACCAAGCTGGCATGGGCTTTTCACAGAGGGGAACAGTTCCTGTAGCAGGCTGTTGCTTATCCTACAGAAGAGAAAAAAAAAAAAAAAAAAAAAAAAAGCTTAGCAGTTTTAGAGTAATCTGGTGGAAAATGGACTTAAATAATAGTGGGTTGGGGATTTTGCTCGTTTCCCATTGTTTTGTTTTGGCTACAAAGTATTTCAGAAAAGCACTTGCATGACAGAGGATGACAATGCCAAGAGAAAAGTCCTTGAGGATAAATGGTCCTCTCCCTAGGAAATGCTAGAGTTAACAAAAAAACCTGAACAAATCCCAAACCCACAACCCTGCAGCCTCCATACATATGCAGATAGCTATGGAGAGGTCTGGAATGTAGTACTTAAGAGTATTTTTTTTCAAGTGGCTAATGGGTCTTTGATGAAAGGGGCTTTTGAGACATTTTCATTTTTTTTCTGTGAATGCATGCAAATAAAATCTGATTTCCTTGTGAGCCAGTGCTAACATTTGATATGGAGTCACTCTGAGAAGAAAAGCTAATGTATTTGAAATGTTATCTGTGTTTGTAGGTGGCGGAGTTAACAACAAAGGAAGTGTCTTAGAGTCACCTGGCAAGTTACTTTATTTAGATAAGTGCAGTCTCACCTGTATGGGCTCTTCCCACCACAGCACCGCTAAAACCCAGTGCAGCTTCAGAAGGCTTATCTGAATGAAGCCTCATGAGGTTGGGAAGAAGGGAAATGGGATGAACTTACATCCCATGGGTGAAGCACTGCGGGGGGGCTCTCCAGGTCCAGCGACCATTGGGGCACATTGCTGCTGCAGCGACTCCATCTTAGCAAGCTTGGTGCTTTACTGGTTTAAAAAATTCATGGTCTCTGTACTACAGCTGATTTCTGTACCAGGACTGTTGAGTCTAGTGTGAAACAAGTGTGTTGCAGGGTATGAGGGGTTATACAGTTTTGGGATTAGGAAACAATAGTAATGAAATTACCTTTTTTTGACAGATGGCTAATACATTGCTGTGGATGCTTTTTGTTTTGTTTAGAGCAGACCATGGGATCTGGAGGAGGGGTCTGGCTTTGCCCTGATTTCACCATAATTATTTGGCCTCAAGGTAGAAATGTAGAGAGATGCAAGAATTACTAAGGATAATAGCTTTGGGGATGTTGCAGGGAGGATTTGTTTTGCAAACAATTTGTGGCATGAAATCCCAAATGCTCATGCTTTCCTGGTAGCAAAGGACATGTGAGTGCTTTCTATGTTTTGGGAATCCTTGGCCTACAAAAGACCTGCAGCCAGGAATGTAGCATCCACCCTCAGCCAGGAGATGAGCTTGAAATGACCATGTCATAAAAAAAAAAAAAAAAAAAAAAAAAAAAAAAAAAAACGAGGTCAAAAAAAAAAAAAAAAAAAAAAAAAAAAAAAAAGCCATGCAAAAAGATGCATCTCCACCTGACATCTGCATCAAAAGGTCCCTGACAAGATAATTTGTGCCTGTCCTCCCTGCCCTTTCTTTGATGATCCATGGCAGTAAATTGTCTGAAGTTTTAAGCCAAACTTACCGGGTTCTGAAAATAAAGGTATTTACCTACTTCATGCTTTCTGATCCTTTTCCTTCTTTTTCTTCTTTCGGGTTCCTGTGTACTTTATAGTGCGGGTACATTGACTGTATGCTGGTTAGGCTATAATTGTGGTGCAACTACAACTCAGTCCTAACGTTGTCACAATTATCTCTATCTTATTAAAGTGTAAATCATGCTTCAACCCTGCCCTCTTTAGCCTCACTCCTTTAACCTTACCCTCAGCAGCTTTGCGGTTTGGGATTCTGGTACGTTAGCTATGCTGTCCCCTTCCAGCGGCCATTTGGGAACTCACTCCCCTCTGTATTCATACTTACTGCTGAATCCTGTAGACTTGCTGCTTTGTTGCGTGTGGATGCAGAGCCTGCCTTTGGGTCACTTACCTGTTTATCTCTTTTCAGCGAGATACCTTGGTTTCCATTGCGTACACCTCTCTCTTGTGGGTCGAGCCCTGGCCTGCAGCTTCGGTGCCTTGTTTGCCAGTCGCCTGTCAGCAGAGCAAATCACTTTACCGCCATGTTTCAGGTTCCTGCTCCATAAGAGGAAAATTGCAGCAGACCTCCCTTAGAAAGTGCTTTGGGAGCCCCTGATGGAAAGTGCCACGCGGAGCTGGGCACTGCTGCCTACCTGCACTGTGTCATTGCCAGTGCAGCTGGGATGGGAGCTGCAGTCTGACATGAACCGTTACTCCTCTGTAGCACCCAGCATCTCTCTGTAACTGTTGTGGTGATGCACTGCAGATGTTGGAGAATAACCCCTGGAAGCAGCACCTTTCCAGCGGCTGTGTAAGCTGTAATGCGGTGCTTGGCTGTGCCCTGGACACGCAGACTGAGTGCTACTGCTAAGGCAGAAATTCCCAACAGCTGGGGCAGGATTTGACATAAATACCAAGACATTGACGTTTGCATTTTTTGTTTTCTGGACACATTCACGATTATGTTAGAAAAGGCCTGTTCTTGAAAATGTGAAGGTGTAAGGAAATTCTTTTGAAAATAGCCTTGTGCTAAAGCAATTAAATAATGTTTATGTCAGATAATTAATTCCAAGGGAAGGATGAAATTGCTGAAAGGCAAAATAACAGAGTGAAAACCGTCTGCAGGTTTTTGAGGCATTTCTTATTGGAAGGGGAGAGCTTATTACCGAGATTAGCTTTTCAGAGGTTTTAAAGTAGGGTTCAATAGCTATAAAGGCTGGATTGTTTGGCACCATCATCTTAGTTTGTAGCTCTAAATGTCTGCTTGCAGTTAATGTAGGTGCTATAAACATATGTGTGCAAAAGAATTCATGGAAAAAAAACAGTGCAAGTGCCATAAGAAATGTGTTGCAGCAAAATGCAAGCGTAGTTAAGTGAAAAAAAATAATTGATACCCACTTCAGAAAAACGGGAGAACTTTAAAGCAACAGTGAAGAAGTGTTGAATTATCCATCACCAGATCTGATGTTGTCTCTGGATTTGCCTCCTATGTTTATACCTGTGTCCTACAGGGCACCTGTACTGTCCCAGAGACAGCACCACTGCCTGGTGCTGCTGATCAGTACGTACAACAGAGACACTTTTTTCTTCAGTAAAAGCAAGAATTATTGTCCCTTTCCATCCTTAGGAAGCCCGGGCAATAGCAACGTGCCCAGCCCTCCAAGAGGGCAGAGAAACTGTGCTGAGAAGCGCGCTCACGGCTCCTCGAAGATGGGACATTTTTCTTTCACTGATTTCAGGATTTACTTTCACCATATGATGTACTTGCTTCCAAGGTCACTTCTGACAGGGGCCTTGTGTTCTTAGTTTTTCTTACCTCATAGCACCCCGCTGGGAAGTTGCTCAGACATCTCTGTACAGACCGGGAACGGCTGTAGATCTCTGGCTGGAGCGTGGGCAGGTGTGATGAGCTGTCTGCCTCCAGCCTGCCTGCGTTCAAGGGTGGGATTCAGCTGGGGTTCAAGCTGTGCCAGTGTCTGGGGAGGGCTGCTCTTTCGTCCCCGTGTACTGGTGGTCCCTAAGTGTTATTCCAGATCCTTCTGTTCCATTTTTTCTTCAGGGGGAGCTGCCTGGACTAAGATAGCTTTTAAGTCTAAAACTAAATCAGGTGCTAAGTAACTGCATTAAAGAGTTATAGATAAGCTAATGAAATTCCTTTTTAAAAATGCCAAGTAGCATTAGCAGCGTACTAAGTATAGCAACTGAAAGCACTCCATTTCCAACTCAGAGGGGCGTCATTGGAAGAATTAACATAACACTTGAATTAAGGTAAAGAGTTACTGAATTGATTTAAAGTTATACAGGAATAAGACTTCAGTTCAAATTGTGGTTGGTTTCACGAAAATGCCTCAGTATTTATGCGCAGAGAGCCATGAAAGCGCCGGGAGGCAGGGTGCTGGAGAAGACCCTGTGTGGTTTCATGGAAGGGCAGTGGGGCAGGTCTGCTA